AGTCTCCATTCTCGCCATCTGTCCTTAAAAAGCTCCATTCGGCAGTTTGTGCTGCTGCTGCACCATGCTGCAGCATCCCTGCACTTGAACTTGGGAATAGGCTTTCCAGGACTGCAGGCAGAGCCCTTACCGCATTCCTTCTGAACCTCCTCTTGCCTCTCGGGGGATTTGCTTCTGCCATCTCGCCTAGACACAATTACGCTCTTCTTTTCCAATTGTCAAAGCAACATTGATGAAATATGAGCTGCTTCTTGGGTAGGATTTAAAAACCAGCAGCCAAAAACCTCTCTCGAAAAAAGCCACCGTAGCTGCTTCCCAAAAAAAAAAAAAAAAAAACACTATCCCTGATCAGTCAGCTGACAGATCCTTCCCTGCTGCTCATTGTAATTCAGAGTTGACACATTCCCCCAGTTACTTAGCCTGATGGAAGAGCCGGGATTCACGTGTGTTGGGCTGCCCAGGACGATCAGGCAAATCCTAAGAGTGGAGGAAGGAAAGAACGACTCCCCTCTGGGAGCTCTGAGCAGTCAGTCTTGGTGGGGTTAACTTGCTCCTCTGCGCAGTTTGATTTTTAAGGTGGCATGCTAAGAATCTTTGTGAAGGTAGTATTAACTGACACGTTTTACTCTTTTCCTACCCGGGTTTGTGACTTAAATTTCAATTCTGGGTTGTTGGTTTGTTTTTAACCTTTTATTTATGTATACTATTTAAACAGAAAATTATACAAAAGTGTACAGCTTGATGAATTTTCACAAACTGAAAACACCTATGTCCCCAGCACCCAGCTCAAGAAATACAATACCACCAGCACTGCAGCCGCCTCGCTATGCCCCTTCCAGCCACTACCCCTCCAAGAGTAACTACCATCCTGACTTCTACTGACTTCTAACCTGATTTTGCACTTTATATAAACAGAACCTAGAGATGAACTCTTTGGATCTGGCATCTTTTGCTCAACATTATATTTGTGAGATTCATTCATGTTATTTCATGTAGCCGCAGATAGCTTCTTTTATTGCTGCATAATATTCCACTGTATGAATATACCACAATCTATTTATCCATTCTGCTATCAAAGGGTGTGTGGGTAGTTTCCAGTTTGCAGACTATTCCAAATAGTGCCGCTATGATAGTATATAAATATACCATAATCTATCCATTCTGTTTGGAAACCCTGGTGGCATAGTGGTTAAGAGCTACAGCTGCTAACCAAAAGGTCAGCAGTTCAAATCCACCAGGCGCTCCTTGGAAACCCTATGGGGCAGTTCTACTCTGTCCTATAAGGTCACTATGAGCCAGAACTGACTCCACCGCAATGGGTTTGGTTTTTTTGTTTCTATCCATTCTATTACTAGCAGGCATTTGGGTAGTTTCTAGTTCGGGGTTCTTATGATCCAATTCTGTTTTTTCAAATTAAGTATTTTCTGTGTTAGCCTTGTGAAAGATTATAGTTTGTGAAATTTTGTCCTGATGATAATCGACAAAGAACATAACATGCAAACTTTCTAAGATGGATAGAATTCTCTCCCAAATGAACATTTCCCCCAAATTCATAACTAAAAACAAATCTTGTCTCCCTTCATTAGTTCTGAAATATAACCTAACTGCAAAATTTTATTTTGGAATCTACAAATTAAGGTTCTTCAAATTGCATTACATAATTATTTCACAGACACACATTTAAAATAACACACCAAAGACCGTTAAACACCTATCTATACAATGGCAATTTTCACCAGGAATCGTCTCTGAGCGCCAACTTTTGCTCTTAAAATTAGCTTGTATTCAATATTTACCTGTACTGCAAAGAGTGCCCAGCAGCTAGAAGTGGTTGAGATCATTAATGTACTCTTGAGTACAAGTACAGAATCTGTACCACAAGCAGAAACAGTAAAAATTTTAAAAAGGAACAACACCCAAAACAACCTATAGACAGTTACAGGTCATCAGCACCTGTACCCCATTCTCCCCATCACCATCAGCTTAGCAGTTATGAAAAGAAAGAGAACCTGAGCTCTGAGCTCTTTCCTGAGCATGGTTCATACCACTGACAGCATCCCTAGGGGGGAATTGGGGGGTTTCACTCCCCAAGAAACAAGTCATTGCCCCTCCGTTGACCCCCAATCCATAGGATAAAGAATTAATCTTTTATTTTGTCTTTTATGAAAAAGAAGACCTCTGTTCCAAGCAACCTACTTGATTAATAAAAATAAAACTCCAGCATCAAGAAACTGGTGCCATATGCCAAATGGTCACTCAGTGAAAATTCATTAAATCAAACGGGTACGGTGTTGGCCAACAGAAAAAAGCTGGGCAATAAAAAACGTTTTATTGTAACAAGTGCTATGTTTAGTACAAAAGAATCAATTATTGGCATAAAATGACGTTTGCTCACCAAGCCCAAGGACTGGCCCTAAAAGGCCAGGGCAAGATAAATAGCTTTCACTTCATTTAGCTCCATAGACAGCAGATGCACTCTCGCCAAAGAAACTTTACGTTTTTCTAAAAAGACGTTGAATGTATCTGTCTATGCACTAGCCATTGGAAAATAATAGAAACCAGCAAATGGAAAAGGCACCATCCGGAATTCATGAAAATTCAATCCTTACTCTGGCTTTTTTTTCTTACTTAGTTGTGTGATCTTAGATATGTCACATAACTTTTACAAAGTGTGTATAGCTAATTAATTTCCTCATCTAGAAGACAATTATAATGATACCTGCCTGCAGTACTTAACTAGGAAATTAAGAGAATCAATATTATTTAAGAAATTTCATTGGCATAACAAAGCTTATTAAGAAAATGTTCTGCATCCTACTTTGGTGAGTGGCGTCTGGGGTCTTAAAAGCTTGCAAG